TAAGGATATAGAGCTCAGAAAGACCTAAAAAAACACTAGAAGAGGGAACCGCACGAAGCTAAAACGATTTTTTTTGTCTGTAGTAATATTTCTTAACGATAAACTTTTAATAACACGAATTCACATTTTTCAATAATATAATATCTCACTATCTATAAATTTAGTGGATCTTGTGAAACTTTTGTATAATAGACATAGATGTTAAAAATATGAAATTTGTAAAAGGAAAACAATTATACATCAAAAACATGTTTGCCACTGGAATCGATTCTAAGATGATGGAAATCGATTTCCTCCTTTACAAATGAAATCGATTCCTTCGCTGTGTTGATTCTCAAAAGGTTGAACGCTTGTTCAAGGGCAAACATAGTTTTTCAGCCTAAATATTCTCAAATTTTGTGAAGATTGAAAAAATGTTAAATCCCCCACGTCATTATTTTCCCTCACTTTCAAATACGAAAAATAAACACTGCTTTTGAATCCATATGGGACAATAATTAATCACCCATAAAGGAACACAACATTAATATTGGACCCGCTATTTCTCAATAATTTGACAGTCAGAACCCCGTATTGTGAACCTTTAGTAGTTGTTTATTAGATCCTTTTTTCTAGGCAAAATATACCTTCATTAAATAATGCGGATGAAATGATTATGCCAAAACCAGTTTCTCCTACTTGTTAACTCAAAAGGAAAATATCTTTTTAATAAAATTTTTTTCTTACGTGATAGTTTGTGATTGGTCCGTTTCAAATATACGAACCAATAAAATAATAACACTCTATTATCAAAAAATTATTAAAATATCATCATCCTAACTTAAAAACAATCTTCACATCACTACGACGACCATATTTGCCGTGGGGTATGCAATAATTTTTACTTTTTTAATTACAAAAACTATAAACTATTGAACTATTTTTGTTGCATAATAGTTTTTTTATTTACTCATTACATTATTGATTTGATATCACATTTGACTTTCTTGTGACCGTAAAGTTGTATAATAATAAAAAAATAGTATCTGTAAATTTTTTTCTTACTGCAACACTAGATAAATGTTTTTTTTTAACGGTTCAACTTGTCCATTTTCAGAACTTTTGAAGTAACAAGTTTAGAAAAGATGAAAAAGTTGGTCGCAATGAGTGATGTCCATCGTCTCTACGGGATAAAATGATGGAGACCACATTTTCCCCTTTGTCTTATAGTTAACTTTCATACATTTTCACAGGCTTTCCAGCATAACACAAAAGATATAAACTTTTGAAAGAAACAACGACAATGCAATATAAGCATAGGTTTCCCGATTTTTTTTTCTTTTTAATTTGATGAGGTATATTTTGATCTTTCAAAATATTTTAAGATTTATTTTTTAGTTCCAAAAAAATTTACTATGTCTTTTGTTTTTACGGGAGATTAAACCTATTCATTTTAATGAGAGTTATAACAGATTAATTTTTTTAAAAGAGTTAAACTAATTTTCGTGAAATTAGAAATACATTTGACTTTTTTAATTTTATTTAATATATGAACAAAACAATCAATAATTATTTCATCGTCCGACTAGAAATTGATTGAACAAATCTGCTGTAAAATAATATATACGCTAATATATTTATGTTTGCGTTCTATTCAATGGCACCATATAAGGCATTTTATATGGATTTTCACTGTAAATTGTATGCCAATTATAAATTTACTAGAAATACGGTCACAAATTTGAATTTTGAAAAAAACAATATATGAAGAACTAATATAGAGAATCTCTCATGAATCTATCATTTTTTTTCAAGAAGTTAATTAAATTTTAGTTACTTTTGTGTTTCATTCTTAAACTAAATTATAAAATATTTGTTGAGAATTTTTTAGTGTTTTTAAAGATATGGGAGGTATTTTATATGAAGAAAGGTGTTAAATATTTCTTAAAAAGTAATTTAAATAAAAAAATATTATATAAATATTCTCACATTGTTCCTTATTTATATTTTCTTATTTTAATTTTAGATCTTCAAATTTGATTATGTTTCTTTTCGTTTGGTGCTTGATGTTTTTTTTCTTTTTTTATATAGGACCATATTTTCATTCAATTTAACATTTTTCATTGTATTTGTGTTCATCTATTTTTTTTATTTGAACATCAAACTTTTTCACGAAATATTAGTCTTTTATTATATTTTGATAATTCTTTTATATTTTCTTCCCAATTCCTCCTTTATCAAACCTAAAATAAATTATTTGTCTTTTATATAAACTTTGAATATTTCTAGGTATTGGTCATATAAATTTTGTTTTTAAAAAGACTTTATAATATTTCTGTAACACTTAACAAATCTTATAAGACATCAAAAATTAATTTGATATCTAGATGAGTTTTAATTGCAAAAATATATTCTTCATTTTCAATTCTTATTTTGTAGACTTGTTTATTCTAATACATGATGTTATAAAAAATAGTTCCTCCTTTAGTTCGTGCTCTACAATCTTGACATTTTCTTAAGGATCTTGAAATTTACATATGTTAACCTTCCAATTGAGGGGTTTAATATCCAACAAAAACACTAGTTCAATTGTAATATAACAAGTTTGTATCCATAAGGATTTAATTTGATAAAATAGTAATTTGTAATCTATTCAAATTTGTAATAGAATAGTAGCATAAATTTGATAATTTTGGAAATAAATTTGATAAATAACAAAGATGAATGATGTTAATTAATATGTTAAGATTGAACATGGCTTCTTTCACTCTATTACATTACCCTTAATTCTTTATAAGTTCTGTTACTACTTTAATTAAAATTGGTGAAGGAGAAATATAAATATAATATTTATAAATATAATATTATTGCTAGCGTAACTTTCTTATCATTAATATGGAGAAAGAATAAGTTGTAAACGATAATGAATGGAGACAAATAAACCGTGTCTAGTTCCTTCTTAATTAATGAGTTATAATTGTGCAACAATTTAATTCAAATAATGCAGCGAAAGAAAACTGAAAAATAGTGCAGTAATTATGTTATTAATTCACTTTATGTGAATTAGTTATGTTATATCAATTTTTATTTTCAATAATTGATATATTTAAGATAATAAAATACTTTTTTTTATCTCTGTGATTCAGAACGTTAATGTTATGTCATGTTAATATTCAAGTCATAACTTTATGATCTTGTCATAGAAATGGACATGGAGAAAGTAAAATTATTTATAAGTGAAAAACATCATCATAGTATAGCTCACTAACTTAGTTTAATTAATGTTTTAACTTTGAGCTAGCAAGTTTGGGGGAAAAAATGTAACATTACATTTTATCAACATTGATTGATTATGAATGCTATAATTCATATGTCATTTCCCAATGCACGAGGTTCCATTTCTTTATTTTATTTTATTGTTTTAGGTACACCACGTTGCGTTGTCGTTTAGTGCATGTGGAGCATATTCTGATTATGTTGCTCTTTCACGTTTTCTTTTGTTGCTGGCATCTCAGTTTTATTGTTCCTTTTTCGTCCGTGAAACATGTATATTGCTATATGATAAAAATCCTGTGATAAATTATACTATTTTTTTATTAATATTTATTTGAGATGACTTATTTTGTTTACCACAAATCTTCTGTAATAAATAAATTATTTGTTTAATTTGTTTAATCATCATCAAACTTTATTGAAAGTATTCTATGCATGTCCTTTGTCTCAAGTTCAGTGACCTACTCTCTTTGATTTTCTTTTCGTTGATGTTTCAGTTAACGACAGAGAACAAACCCACACTAAACTAAAACGATATTACGAAAATATCATATTAAAGTTGATTTAGTAAGACTAATGAAGATTACTTTACAAATTAAAAATGAGATTGGGATACTCTTTGTCCCCTTTTGGTTTGTAAAATTTTAGGAGTGAGAAAATGTTTCTCTAATTTAAGGGAGAGAATGTCTTTATTTTGTTTATTTCAATTTAATAAAATGACTGAAAATTTAGCCTGTGATATATCATAAGCAAGATCTTATCTTGCCATATTCTTTGCTGATCTAGAATAAGCATACCAACTCACGTAGCGAGATTATAAATATTGAATTTAGTATCTGAAAGAATTAAAAGATAAATAGTATTCTACTGAAAGTCTTGTTAACTTTGGTATCAATGATTGATGGGTTTTATTTCATTTAGTGTTCTCTAGTCTAGATTTCTTCCATATTAGGTATGAATTTCATAATTTAAGTTTTTTTTAGTTTTTTATTTTTATTTTTGGAGTTTGATTACTTAGTTTTTATTATATAAGTTTGGTCTGCTCTCCTATATTATTATATTTGTTTTCTCTTTTATTCAGCTTTCCATGTAATAATATACAATGATTCAACGTCGGAGGGTCTTAATGTTGATAATGATACCTAACATGTAAATTTTTAATTTTAAAAAAATTAGTTCCTAAATTTAAAACTTAAGTGACCCAAGTTGGATACTTTAATTTATATGTTAATAATTTTGAAAATTAAATTTATGGATACTCATTGTTAAAATGATTGCTTTCCTATATTAAAGGCTCTAGAATATAGCACTTATGTACATAATTAGAAATATCTTATCTCACCATTTACATAAATAAATAAATTGAGGAGTGGGGGGCTGATTTCTAGTGGTTACGGATTGTTTTTAATTTGTTAATCAAGCACATAAAAGTCTTCTTGATGACGAACCTTACAGATTATATTTAAGTCTTTAAATTTTAAAATAAAATCATCAATAATATTTAATCACATATGACATGACATGAAGAATGATGTCACAATGAAGAAGTGGTGCCAAGGCCATGAAAAAATAATAATAATTTATCTTCATTAAGGTTATATGCTTTCAATAAATAAAAAGAAAACACGAGTTTATATATATATATATATATATATATATATATATATATATATATATATATATATATATATATATATATATATATATATATATATAAAAAAAAAAAAAAATAAATAAAAAAAGTGGGATAGAATTTAAGAACATAGCTGTGTCATGAAAAATTATACTGGCCGTGGAAACAACCAGGTCCAAATTTAACCCTTTAACAAAATCATGATTTGAAACTCATCACATATAAAAAGTAGTCACAGAATCATAGATAAGAAAAAAAAAAGTAGCAAGTGATATTAGAGTTACACACTCCAATTGTACTACTAACTAGAAAAAAAGAAACAAATTGATGCACCAGAAGAAAAAGAAAAAAAGTTATGAATATAGCATGTGTTGTATCATATTCTAGATCAATCATCTATAGAAAGCTAATACAGGACCAACTTCTACACTCGTATTTATAGAGATTATTCCATGCATTCTGCAACGCTCAAAAGTTATATATTTGGAAATCATAACGCATAATATACTTAAAGAATCTAGCACATGCCAAACTGGCGGCTACAAGTGTTCCAATCAAACTATGATGAACACATCTTTCACCAAAGCCAAATCTACGATTCTAGCAGACAATAATTTCCTAAAATAAACAGATTAATCAGCATGAGAAACTGAAACAATGGAGTTATAGAATCATTTGAACTCTTTGCCGGCAAAAATGTTTATAAAGAAAATGTCTCAACAGAAAAAAAACACATGCAAATGTTACTTGGAAAGAGACGACAACCAGAATAAGGGAAATCAAACTAAGGGAATCGCAAAGAAGCATGTTCCATCCTACAGTCAAATGTTTTATGGAGTATGTATAACTGGAAATCTTAAATATCACGGTGAGCCAGTGTGCAGAAAGGAATAACAATGTTCAAGTGCTTTTGACATGGTGCAATTCAAAGTCCAAATTTAGAGGATAAAACTTCCACAGCTTGCCAATAAAACAGGCTCAGATGTTCCTCATCACTTGTTGGAGAAGCAAGGGATTCAGGTCTGTCGGTATTACTTCTCTCAGTATTGTTGTTCAGATTTTCCTCATGTGGCTCAACTTTGTCATCATTTTTGTTCTCTTCTGTTGGCATCTTGACGTTCACATCTTTGCTTGGTTGATCATCCACATTCTCAACAGGCAGACAGGGGCCAACTTCCGGGGTTGCCCTTTCAGGCCACAGTGAAGTATTAAGATCAAGAACGAGATCAGATTCACCAATTCCATGTGCTTCAACCTTGTCACCTGAAAAACTTGTATCCACAGCATCAGATTCAGGAATATCTGTTGCTCCAACCTTGTTGATGCCCCCTTGAAGATTCACATTGAGATCCAATGCTGAACTGCTCACAAAATCTCTAATTTTTCGCTGCAATAAAGTAAGCATGTATTAGCACCAATTGTGTATCCATGCACATAGCCTTTATTCCATGCACATGGTATCTAAATTCATTTTACAGCTTATGTCATTGTCACTCTCAATGCTGACAAAACAGGATTTCTTTCTTCACTTGAGTTCAATATACTGACTGATTATGTAGTATTAATTGTGCAACAATATCTCTAACATTTTTAAATAGAACTGTGAGCAGAATCGGTACAAAAGTTATATGGTAGGACCCAAGCAAAGACAAGAAAAAATATAAGGTAATTGGTATCTGTATTCAGAAAATTCTCTCAAAGGATGAATCCATGATACAACGTAGCATAGGATGTATAGACAGACTAAAATTATGTAACAATGGAATGGAACAAAGATTCTAGCGAGATGAAAAGCAATAAACTAGAAAATAACATTCTTCCCGAGAATAGGACCCTTCTACATAACAGAATCTTCACTCTCCGTCCCCCACCTCCTCACTATATAGAACTGTTTCCATTTCTCTTTACGATCATTAATTGCCAACTATCCTTTTTGTTATGTGTTTGTTTAGGTAAACTTCTTTGTAAACAATTTTTAGGAGATAAAAACTAGAAGAAAAAATGAAATACCCTTCTCCATAAGCTAAAAGTTATAAATACACATGTAAAATTTGATTTAGAAGAAACTAATAAAGAGAACATTTACAAATTAATTTTTGCAAAGCTAACTTTAACTCGAGGAGAAACTTATTTCATTTTTCCATATTTTATCCTCTTGAAAGTTTTATAAAAGCAATCATTTCAGATTTGGACAGCGACCCAAGATTTGTCGCCTTTCTAGTGTCATGTATAGTTATATCTATCCCAACCTTTTTCATTGGCAAATAACGAGCTTCGTCCAGATGTCCTTCAAATTTCACATCCACAACTCCAGTCAATCCGGACATCAAGTGAGGGCCTGCATGGATACATCAAAGTTAATAATACTTATCTAAATTAAATAACACCGAAAAGAAAACAAGTTATCACTGTGTCACGTATACAACATGTGTTATCTCAGTTTGTGAGCCCAATGTTGGCAATTCATTACCTGAATGAGAATGTGACTTGGGTTTTTCCAGATAAACACAGGAGGATTGCTCCACATTTGCCTTCCCCAAGTTTTCGGACAGCGATTCCCTAACTAGTGGAGATCGTTTGGGTGATTTTGACTTATTAGGGAGTCCAGCACTTGTATCAAGAGCCTTTGTTTTTCTATCTAAATCAACTTGTAAGGTGTCTGCACATCTCTTGTCACTAAAAGCATGAGAAGCTTTAACTTTGTCTTGAGGATTGCAAGAAATTTGGAGCTCAGAAGTAGTATCTTTGGTTTCTTTTGCTTTTCCATCTTTAAAAGTTTTGTATGAGGAGTCCTTATGCTGCAGTGGGGTGTTGTCGCAGGATTTGGCACTCATTTTGTCCTCCTTCAAAGACTGGCCTTCTGACTGGACACCATGCCTGTTAGCTGATGAATAAGATCTAGTACTTACACTTGCTTGCCTTTTCCAATCATGGAAAGATTTTGAGTTTAATTCTGCACTACTTGAAGATTCAAGATTTACTTGACTTTTGGATTTTTTGCATTCTGACTTCTTGCAGTCTTCACACATCCACCAATCACCTTCAGGAACTTTCTCCAACATATCACGCATACAATAACTGGTTGATGAATGAGAAGTAAAACCAGATCATTTCACTTGCCCATAATGAGAGGCTACCAAAACAAAAATACAACCATGCAAGATATTATAATACATACATGTGCTCTGCCCCATCCGTACACTTGTTACAAATAGCAAGATCCTCTTCATTTCCTGCATCCCCACAGATATCACAAACTATATCCTGCTATCAAATGGGAGCAAAAGAAGCTATATAAATTCATTTGAAACAAAAAATAAGCAAATTTTTATGTGGCCTGTATACGTCTTTTAACATGATATAATGCTATGTCAGAAGTTCATACACACGAAATTGTTGTCAACAGAACTTGATTATAAGGTATGATGCAGAAATGGAAAAAAAGAAAAAAAAAGCATTTGTAGATGGAATTTCAAACACTAAAAGAGCACAGCATGCCACAACAGCATGTAAAGGATTCTGTTGAACACCAAGTTTTTCTAGAGTGAAATTTGAATGGGATACTTAACTGAGTGCCATGTATAACAGAAAGATAGAGAAAGCTAGGTTAAAGATCTATCAAATACTCCATGTTATAGGTTTGAAAAACATAAAATACTAAATAGCACAGTGCTACAACAAGATCTACTAGGGTAGCAACAAAGGGGTCAAAAGGCAGACAATCTAAGTTTGCTAAAACGAAAATTCACAATCTTACTATTAAAATATTTAAAGTAGTTTTCTTAACATTGCAAATTCGTTTTAAACATTCCATGCACCATATGGAGCCCGTAAAAAACTTAGATTTGCTTTCTATTTTAAACCTCACTTAACTTTCCCTGTTTTTCCTCAACCTTGATCAATCCATATATTTCCTCATGTAACACCTGTCCGTTTTGCTTATGACCCTTTTATTATTATTAAAAGTTTAACATTTAACCACTAGCATATAATAGTGTTCCTTGGCTCACATTTTGCAAAAAGAAATTCCTTGGTGTAAATCATCAACTACTGGTGAGGTTTCAGATAACCCGGTTTCTCCTCCAACATTCAGTGAAGAAATTCCATCAACTTTATGACACTAAGTAAACAGAGTGAAATAAGAGACTCTTCCTATTACTGAGTTCCAAATACACCTCAGTGGACAATATTTTACAATTTCTTCAATTTTTCTTTTCATATAGGAATGTAGAATCACAACGATCAGTAGGATAAGATTTGGTAATCACGAATGTTTTTTCATGAATTTGAAAATGAAAAATACAAAAAGCTCCTATGCAATTTGAGATTGAATCAACAAAACCAGAACTAGAACAAATAGGTCAATAAACAGTCCGCTTATAGAAAACTAAAACAACAAAAGCCTTATACCACTTGGTAAGGTCAGCTACACAGATAACAAAATGCCGTTCACCTCCGTTAATGACTTTTGAAGTATTATTCACCATGGAATCCCTCTCAACAACTTCATCCAGTGTCCTTCTCGGTCTCCCTCACCATTTTAACAAAACTAAAAGACTATATAATTTACTCTTCTCACTAGTGCCTTCAGTACCCTTCTTTATACGTGCTAAACCCACCTAAAGCAATTTTATTCATTTTTTCAAGTGTGTTCACACATCCTTCTTAACATTCTCATTATACTATTGTCACCTTTTCCTCTTGTTGCCTCTTTAAAGCTCAACATTCTCTATATCAGAGTATAATTGGACATATAGTAGTACAGTAAAACTTGTCTAAGAATATGGTAAGAACCTTATGATTACAAATAACACCTGAAGTCTTTTTGAAGGCATATCCCCTTTCAAGGAGAGTTGAAGTCATCTATAAAAGATGGACCTAGACTCTCTCTGTTAGGGAACTAATTGTATATAGTAGAAGGAGAAACGTTACCCAGCCTAACTGCCAAGGCAGTTAGGAAAGTCAGTATAAAAAGGGTGGGTTGGTTGGTGAGAGGATAGTTTTGGAGTATTATTGTTTTGCGGGAACTCTTGTAGTTCTTTGGAGAGAGGTTAAGCTCTCGGGTTACGTTGTAACACCACTCTTGTTGATTCGTTTCATAAAAGGAGGCTGTATAATTCAGAGTACCTGTTCTGTGTTGTGTTTCTAGTGCTATTCATAGGTTCTTGATAAAAAGAACCTATCATTTGGTCCGACCTGCCAGATCAAGAAGGCGGCAAGATCAGCGATGAATAGCCAAACGGAGGGAAGATTTGATAATCTTGAGATTACGGTGGAAGGAATTAAGGAGGAGACGGCTGCGATCAGGCGTGACCTACAACAAATGATGAGGTTGATGGGTGGAGGTCAGAATAATCAGGGGGGTGGCACGGAAGGGAGTAGCAACTCGGTGAATGATAACCCCGAAAGACGCGACTATGGAGGAATACCACAGAACTGGCGGAAAAGGGTGGAGTTGCCATCGTTTGAAGGGGTAGAGCCGCATAGTTGGATTAACAGAGCGGAAAGGTTCTTTGACATCCAGAGGGTGGCTGAGGAGGATAAGGTTGAACTCGCCTACATTAGCATGGAAGGGAGCGCGAGTTACTGGTTCAAATATTGGAGG